TTCGACAGCACAGTAAACGATATTGCTGCTGGATTTCCAAATTGTCAGTTGAGTCTTCAGAAATATCAAAACCTAAATATTTATAGCTATTCACATATTTCAGAGTTTCACCGCAAAGAGTAAGCTGTGGCAAACACATATTCTTGAACATTTTTGGGCGCAAGCACATACACACAGTCTTTTTCGTATTATAAACAATGTCATGTTCATTCGCATATTTTTCACATGTGTTTAGTAGGACCTGAAGGCCAAACGGCGTGGGTGACAAAATAATCATATCATCAGCATATGCTATGTGGTTCATACTACCTAGGTAGCGACAGCCAACACCAGTGTTATCAAGGCTCACAGACAAAGAATCAACATACAGATTAAACAAAAATGGTGAAAGAATGCCCCCCTGTCTGACCCCATTGCAAACAGTGAAGCCACTTGTAACGTACTGTCCCCATTGCGTATGAAATGATTGAGAATGGGCGACCCATTTGTGTGCCCTCGCTGCTCTGTGCCTTTAGGTACATTTGTTATATTTCGTTCCACGGCATTAACAAAGATGCGTGATCGGTTACATCCGTTTGCAGTTCTTCAATCCTCGTCTCACCACTCCTCTCACTGTGTCAATAATGTGTTTATGCACATACTCTAGCATGGTGACAACGTGCCTGAACTGACGTCCCCAGCCCAACTCAGTCCTGACAGTAAGCGACAGAATTCAGAGAATGTCGCTATCAAACAGGTCAGCTGTTAACCCGGCAGTTGCTGGGGTATTTCGCCACCCACCGTTTGCTGGGGGGGGGGGGCGTTAAACGCCCCCAGCCGATAACTCGAGAACCAATAGGCGCAGCGAAACGCACGAGGCGGCAAACGAAAGAGCGCGACGAGACGCTTCAGATGAGTACTTTAAAGTTGAATTTTGAGGTCACATGTCGGGTCAAGGTCAGGTCAAACACCTGAAATCGGGATTTCAGTAGCATGGACTTCAGGACTTCGCAATGGGCGCCTCTCGTCATAAACTCTGTCCAAACGGTGCAAAATCCATCATATAAGGCCTACAAGAGTGTCAGCTCCATGTAGGGGTCAGTCAAGCATAGGTCAGGGTCAAGGTCAGGTCAACCGGGTAGGCACATATCCCCGAAAATCAAAACTGATATTCGCAGCCTGTGACACATGTTTTATAGGTAATTTGGGGCGTAGAACACGATGGTGACATTCATTTTATCATATGTGTACGTGTTTGGCTCAAAAAGTTCAATTTAAGAAATGCATGTATCATGGTCGTGAAGTAGTCACGAAAAATTGCCAAGATTCAGTTCAAGATTATGGAAAATGCGGAACGATAATCAATAATCGAAGATAGCCATTTGATTGATCATGGTATTGGCAGTCTAATGGCGTTTACGGCATGTCTGTATGTCTATTCTGTGATTTTATATGATTTTTTGAACATATGCCGTTTTTGGTCGAAAACTCAGAAATCATGACGTCACTAAAACCTCGATATCTCAAAAATCTTCCGACCGATTTTTTTTGAAACTTTGTCACAATAAACTTCAATCAATTCCCTATAGGTACCCAAAATTTGGCGCGCCTGCGGCGCGCCGTTTTTATGCTATGGCCCGGCGAAAAAAGTGGGGGCGTTTAACGCCCCCCCCAGCAACTCGCGGGTTAAACAAGCCGCCGCCGAAATCCTGACGGACGCCAGTCAAACATCCGGCCAGAGAGGGTACCTGTCCTGGCGCGCCAGCCGCCCCGATCGGCGCCGCGTGCCGGCGAGACCCGCAGCGCTCGCATTGTTCGCCGCTGGCGCCGCGCCGTGATCCTCGGCTGCCGTAACTGCAGGGGCGACTCGGCAAACGGCCGCCAAACGTGGCGCGCGGGTGACAATTGCGGCGCGCCGCTGACACGGTGGTCGCCGCTGTCGCTGTCACGCGCTTGTCTCCAATATCATTTCCGCCATAAGTTGGTAAACCCAACCTTTCATCCTCTTACGCCATTAACGAGATGTTTACATGGAGTCCGGTTTCCAGCTTTTAGGTCGCGCAAAGTGTCACGTCGCGCTGGCGGCGGCCAAGATGGCGGCGGCTGGTGTGTGCTCTTCTCACCTGGTCCCACGCTCGGCAAACAATCTACTAACGAGGACCGGATGGAGTGGTGCATTGACGGAGTGTGGGATGGGCCTGGGACAGCGCAGCCAGCCGGCGCCGCGTGAAGGAGCATCCACGATTAGAGGCAGAGCGACTGCGGTTCACCGACACCTACAAGAATCAGTGAATCAGGGAGCCACCGAAAGAAAGTGTGGAAACACAGCACCTTTAAAGTTGTTGTGGATGTTTGCATAGCAACCACACAAAGCCTACAATGTTGCACCGATAAGAGCAGCTTTTTGGTGCATAAGACGAGAATATATTCTGATGTGATGTGACGCAATTCGAGCTGCGTGGTAGGATGGTCAATGCCGATTTGTCGCCCTTTTACAGCTTCAGGCCTTGCCTCTTTTACCACGTAATTGGGCAACAGTGATTCAAACCTTCAGAATATAATGGTTGGAATCACAGGAACAGTCGTGACTGCCGACTTGGAACGTAAAATGAGCCCGTTAAAGTAAATGGTTAAAATTTGGAAAACTTATTCCAGCTTCGCATAAAAGCAAAGTGTCTGCCATCTTCGTTGCTGCGCAGTGCGCACCCTCCACACTCCACATATTCGCCAGAGTATTTTTGGCCACTTAACGTTTCTTAATTCATCTAGTTTTTTAGCCCGGAAATACTTACGTGATAGTAGCCGTTTTCACGACGGGTTGCCAGGCAAATGCGCTAGACCATATCATATATATATTTATTTGAATGCATTAACCCTCGCCGGCACAGGGGGGGGGGGGTTGATGCAATCCCCCCTAAGGTTTTTCGCGAATAACTCGCGTAAAAAGCGGCCGATCGTGACGAAACTTTCAGTACCCTTGCATTGATCAATTTTACACCTACCCTGAAAATTTCATGACCCTGACCCAAATGACCTTTGACCTGTGACCTCTTTTCCGAGACCATGTTTGGCCGGAATCGCGATTCGGCGCATGTCGGCTCGCATTAGCCGCGCGTTTGCAAGCTTTTCGTGGTTTCAAACGTTCAAACATGTGATTTGATGTTGCTCCCATACATCAGGGTGGGTGTCAAGGTCACCTGAAGGTCAGGTCAGGTCAATGATCTTTGGTGACCTCGGGTGACCTCGGTTCACTTTTTCGAGTTTTACATGTTTCTAGGCTAGTTTTTGGAGCTGAATTCGAATTTAGCAACCATTTGAACATTTACGAAGTAGTTTTGGTGCCTTCGTAACATGTTACGAAGCTGTCAGAGGCGGTTGACACGTATTACGAATACCCGTCACAACCCCTACCGGTTGACCTGACCTGACCTGTCCCGACCTGGTCTAAATGCTTCAAGACATCATCTCTGATCAAAACTAACACGATATTCGTGATCAGCACCCCGGAAAACCACATAACAGCCACACTTTAGGACTTTCTAACAGGTCCCGATTTTCCCGGTTTTCGGGTCATTGACCTGACCTGGAAGGTCGCCCGATGACCTAGGACCTTAAAATTGGGTATCATCGGCTTCCTCTCGTGACGGGCAACACGCTCGTTTTTTCCGCGAAGCTCTAGCTCGATCAGGGGCCAAACGCGAGGGGGGGGGGGTCGTACATACCACCCCCCCCCCCTTGTGCCGTCGAAGGACACAAAATGGCCTGTGCCGGCGAGGGTTAACACATCTTCGTAATTACCGTTAGTTTTATTTCATTCTTAAATGATCACCCTGTGCCCTTATCTACATATACCCAAAATTGAAAAGTCAACGGATTTCGGCCACATTATTTCGGTGGTGCCCTATTTTCAGTCTTTGTTTGTTTTTATTTTTTCTTTATTTTTGGCACCTGGGCCCTGGCGGGACTGTGGTGCCCCTGCTAGGCCGCAGGTGCCCCTGACAGGTTTGTGCCCGTAGTGCCTCTGCGAGGCCGGTGGTGCCTCTACTGGAAAGCAGGGGCACCGCCACCGATGATGCCTGACAGGCCTGTGGTGGTGCCCCTGGCAGGCAGCTGGTGCCCCTGGGCTCTGACAGGACTGTGGTGCCCCTGACAAGCATGTGGTGCCCCTGACAGGCCCGTGGTGCCTCTGGCGAGCCTGTGGTGCCCCTGATAGGCCGGTTGTGCCCCCGGACCCCAAGGGGGCATGACCCATGTGACCCCCCTCCCTTGGATCCGCCTCTGGTTCAACTTAAGGAGATAAAATATTGTGCATTTGAACTAACATGTCATTTTCGCTTCAGTCGTTGTCGTAAGGCCACAGGTGGTCGTTGTTTGCAGCAATCTATAGAAAGGATCATTCATGATGCATGTGAATGTCCGGTCACGGTTTACCGAATAGATCCTTTGGGAAAACACGGCTGATGTCCGTTCTCTACCTATATGAGATAGGCGCAGACACTGACTACGAGTGTGTTCTGGCCGGGGTTGAATAATAACCAGTAAAACACCTAGGCATCAGATCTAGCATATATTATTGCACAATGTTAATAGAGTCGCCTGCATGCAGAAGTATGTCGCTTGCATTGGGTGTAGTCCGGGGGAGGAGCAAATGCAAATAAAGAAATTAAAAACATTTCTATTCATAAATCGTCGGTGGTTTACTTTCAAGAAATGCTTTAAAGACGTGGAATAAGTAAGATGAATAAAAAAGGCCGTATGCACGACCGACCTCCATCATAAGTCGGCTGTCTCCTCTAGCACAAAATCGTCAAGCGTAACACAGCAGGAGCATAGGTACGTTTTACCTGAGATGTCGGTATGAGCTTTTGCAGGCACATACCTTGACAAAACACTTCAAATACGCAGCTTTCACGAACGGACAAAACGCAAAAATATAAAAATAAAAAAGAACTGCATTGCCAAAAACATGCAGGACATAACGGAATGTGAGCAAATGAATGTTACACACATATGTAGAGCTAGGTCAACTGCTCGTTTCTGAATTCGACGTCACTATTACTCACGATTACATTGTTCACCTGAAATGGAACGTTTCTTTTCAACAGGTACAGATGGAATCTATCAACCTACATAGCCACGCGCAGCAGGTGTGCTTCAAGCAGTTGCCTGACATCGGTAGTTGACCTGCGTCCTGCTGACATTGATAAGTAATTACTCAAATACTCACTATTATCAGTGAACAGTGCGTGACTGTCTATACAGAGGTACTCAAAGGAATCCGCATCCCAACGCAACTCCTTTCCATCAGCCTATGTAACAAATGATATCCCCGGCACTATACTCACGTGTTCCGAGTCACTATTATACCACTGCACCTACCTAATACTGCGAGTTGATCTCACGCAACCGCTGGCCACACAAGAGATTCGTCTAGCCAATGCATGATGGAAAGCCGTTCTTCGGTTCACTCAATAATTCAGTCCACCCTCATCGAGTCCTAAACCCACTCTCCCAGTCCATAGGTCCATACACATAGTCCTCAGTCCATACTCGAAGTCCTCGGTCCACCTGCAGCGGCTCCTCAGTCCACCTGCAGCGGCTCCTCAGTCCACCTGCAGCGTCCCTCAGTCCATACTCGAAGTCCTCGGTCCACCTGCAGCGGCCCTCAGTCCACCTGCAGCGGCCCTCAGTCCACCTGCAGCGGCTCCTCAGTCCACCTGCAGCGGCTACTCAGTCCACCTGCAGCGGCTCCTCAGTCCACCTGCAGCGGCTCCTCCAGCTGGTGGTCGGTGTCCGTGCGGATGTCCTCAGCGCCCTGCGAGCCTCCGAGCGGCGGACCACCGACAGGGTCGCCTTCGGAGCCTCCGGGAGGGGGCGGCGCGTCCCGCCGCGATTCCTGCTCCTCTCGGCGGTGTTTCCGCCACTTGGCACGCCGATTTTTGAACCAAACCTGAGAGAAACAGGCGCGGTACTCGTCATTGCTGTGCTGACGGCTTCGGTCTGAGAGCAATGTATCAATCCCTCCATTTGGGATATAATGATCTGATAAAATTAGAAACTGTTTTTCAAAAGGTTTGGCTGATTTACCTGCTACGAATTATATTTCAATATATTCTGATTGAATATTCATGGGAATATAATATAGCAAAAGTTTTTCTGCTGAGAAATCTCTTATTTTTCCTGAATAACTATGCAATATGCATTGAAATAAGAAGTTTGCATCCAAATGTGTGCACAACTGCACTAAGAGTTTTATTACCTCAAACACCTTCCTTGTCAGTTACCATTGTAAATGCCAACGTTTTCCGATGCTTACCTAGACGATAGCCTATCAATGTACCCAACTGAGCTGCACTGGACATTGCTAACGCTTTGATAATAGTCACGGTATTTTCCGTTCGTGAACATACATGTGAAGCAAACATTTACAAGCTGTGCACTTTAGTTCTAGGTCTATTTTCGTTCGAGTACCTACTGCAGGTAGGTTTGAAGTTTGAACAGCCAATAACGCTGCCACAACGACCTGTTAAGCCCGGCTACTCGTCTTATCCATCGCACGGGGACCCACGCCCACGCCCGCTCGGCCGAATGTGTTTATCAGACAGACACGAGACGGTTTTAGCCAATTTTCCTGCTCGGCGCGGCGCCAGCCGAGCGGTCCAGAGCCCTTCACTTGCGACATCAGGGCGGCAGTGACGACCATATCGCATGCCATTCGAATCCCCTTAGCACCCCTTGGCGAGCCGCGTTTTCTAATGGCAAGACCTTGTTGGGTTCTCACTAGCCTGCATTGATCTGACGCCGGCGTCGTCCGCTATTCTCCTGAAGAGCGCCGTTGCCGGCAGCGTTGACTCATCATATTCTTTTAGCCGTTTAGAAAGCTAATAGTGTTTGGCTTGATAACAGGACGATATTTTGACAAGATTAAAAATTTAGATCGGCGGCCGCCGGTGGGAGCGAGCCATCTGCTCAGCGAGATGATCCTCTCGCGGTAGCTGGAGGGCGGTCGGCCCCGGCGGCGGCTACACCGCCCAGACGCGGGGCCCTGCAGCCAGGGACGGGACGGAGCAGCGGCCGCGGCCGAGACTGAACGGTATAAGTATATTGTGCAACTAAGGACGGCACTGCGGCCGGGACCGGGGCTGAGCTGTGCAACTAAGGACGGCGCGCGCCCTTGGCATCGGCACGCGCCGGGAACAGACCACATCACCACAGCTACGCCTACGCCGCGCACGCCGAGATTGGGCAGCAATTTCTTGGAGGCAAACAAAGTTTGAACCAGAGATTCAAAAAGTGCAGCCCTCAGCAGACTGCGTGTTAGAAATACTTTTTTCGACAAAACCGATAATAATTCAAAGGCTATGTTATCAGTCGGTCGGAACTCACTGCAAATACATAGATGCGTCATGCTCCACTCCTTCGATTGGGTGTATCACTTAACAAAGTATGCGCCTTGTATGGCAACAAAATGCAAAAGTTTATTTTGGGGGTAAATATTAACTTTTGGGGTTCATTGTTGCCAAACTGGATGGAAAATGAATACGATGATAATGCCAATCTAAGGTGTGGAGTCTCGCGCGTCTTGCTGTTACGATTTTCGAGTGACCGATAACATAGTACCTACCTATTCACCTTATGCTCGGTTCTATAGAAAAAAAGAATACCTGACGCAGTTTGCAGAGGGCTGTACATAAACACATAAGGTAAGTAAGCTATTTCACAACTCCATCGTATTCTTAGCCCACTGCTTAGCCTGCAAAGTATTTACTGTGGATAACTACTGGTTTTCTAGTAACATGATTTCTAAAATAAAAATAGGCATTCGATTGGGTATACCTACGGTACTTTCTTAGCCTGCACGCTCCTATCTTTCCGTGTAAAAGTAAAACAAAAAATGCGAGACGTAGCTAGGCGCCGTATTGCCCAATCAAGACTGCAAAATTGAAACCGTGGAATTAATTAAGGATGTTTATCAGAAGTGCGTTAAACTAGTTATAAGTCCCACCTCAACCCACTCCTCCTTCAGACCAACACTCAGTGCTCAGTATTCGTTAAGGCCTGTGCCCGCAGAGTCCGAATGCGTACCCACTACCTACCTCGACGCGCTCTTCCTTGAGGTCGACCTTCATCGCCAGCTGCTCGCGCAGCAGTACGTCCGGATAGTGGGTCTTCTCGAACGTCTCCTCCAGGCGCTCCAGCTGCTCCTCGGTGAAGATGGTCCGGTGACGCCGCTTCCTCTTAGTTGGCGACGACATCGAGCGTGAAGTCATGGGCACGCAGGAGAAGCCCGAGCACATCGGTCGCGGGAGGCCTGGCGACGTCAGAATCGGCAGTTAGGACCTCGAGTGGAATGAGGTCTCAACGGACTGGCTATAGCTGCACTTGTGGCTAATTTCCATTGCTCCTGAGTCCTGACCTAAATTAATGGATTGCATATACCGACATGCGAGGGTTTAGCTTACGAGTAAAATATGCTACATGATAAAAGGGATACACTGGGGAAAACTGATAAAAACGCAATTTGAGCCGTGCGTAAATGCTTTAGGTCGTCCTCTGTAATAATCGAATAACATGCACAGTGGAAAGGGGAGGGGCAATATCGCGGCACCTCTAATGTTTTTCGCAAAAACCTCACGCCGTAACCATCCTTTTAACACCATATTTACAGTATCTGCCTAAAATTGAATTGCGCATCTTGCCATGAAAGCAATAAATAGATCTAAAACGTTTTTAGCGATAGAAGTGTAAAAAGAAAAATCCCGCCGGAGCGGCGGCGCGGCGGCCGGCGCCGTCCGATTCTCGCTGCCGGCGCCGGACAATTCCGTCTGCATTGCTCAATGCTCTGCTTACCGCTGCTAATGATCGGGACCGGGTCGCGCTAATATCTCTGTGAAGACTAAGAAATACTCGTATACAGGCAATCTTATGGTGAAAGAAATGCGAAAACCAGCCGGTAACATTATGAGTTACGAGTGTGTAAGTAAACGCAACATTGTGAAGGAATCGCTTCCCGCGTCGACTGTTACCCGTCTCAACCGGAAGACATCTTACTCGAGGGCAGCGCTTTTCGAGGAGCGCTGTGGCCCGAAGGTTTGGACTTTGAATTGTGAAAAACGCCCGCCCGCCGGAAAACGCAAACACCGCAAAACGCGCAAAACGCACGCCCGAAACGCCAACGCAAACGTCGCAAAAAATAAACAAACGCCCGCCCGCCGCAAACCGCAAATAAAAAACGCAAAAACGCCGCAAAACAATAAAACCGCCCGCCAACCGCAAACAAATTTAACACCGCAAACGACGCAAAAAAAAGAAGAAAACCGCCCGCATCGCCCGCCCGCCCGCCCGCCCGCCGCCAAAGACAAACACCGCAAAAAACACAAAACGCCCGCCCGCCGCAAAACGTAAACACCGCAAAACGTGTAAAACGCACGCCCGAAAAGCCAACGCAAACGGCAAAAAATCACCCGACCGCCGCAAACCACACAGAAAAAAACGCCGAAACGCCGAAAAAAATAAAACCGCCCGCACCGCACCGACGCTAACTGCTAACCGAAAACGACTAAAAGTCGCCCGCCAGCCGCCAAACGCAAACACCGCAAATAAGCGCCCGGCCGCAGCAAGATAATAATTTATCAGCGGCTGGCATACCGCTAGGCTGGTCATTTTCACAAATCAAAAAGATATCTGCAAAAATCTCCTAGATGAAAGCGCTCGATTAAAAAACGGATGGCACGTGCGTGTTCCTCGCCCCCAACTTCCTTCAGGTCAATCGTCATTTGGGTCATCTAACGCATTGACGTATCTGCAAAAATCTCCTAGATGAAAGCGCCCGAGTAAAAAACGGATGGCACGTGCGTGTTCCTCGCCCCCAACTTCCTTCAGGTCAATCGTCATTTGGGTCATCTAACGCATTGACGACCGGCTGGGTGGAATGAACATTGCGCCAAGAAACGTAAGTATATTGTCAAAAAGAATCCCCAGAGTGGTGGATCCCAAAAGTTTGAAACTACCACTTTGGCCCACTGGACGACACCTTAAACAGTTGCCGACCGGATGACACCCATTGTTTGGTCACCCACGCCATAGTATGCATCATGGGTGCGCCGAAATGACCAAAAGTCCCAATTTCCGGTGTGCAGGGTCATTTTCAACGGCACGTGGCACGTGGTTCTGGACTTTTCCGGCCACTTTGCGACATACCCATGGGTAGTGCACCGAATGGTGGTTGATCTGCATGTAAGAAAATGGGGGGTCGTTTGGATCGTTTTCGAGCAATCTGCCGTGGAACGCATTTTTTCATTTTCCCCATTGGCTTAACACGGGAATTTTTAAAGTCACGTGGCACGTGCACCAGATGGTCCGCGGAGGGGAGACCCATACCAGAACGTAGATCACCTGGCCCACTAGAAATCCTGAAAAAATCAGAATATTTGGACCAGCCGTTTTCAAGAGCATCAAGTTGTACTGATCTCAGGCAGCTTTTGCCAAATTGTCAGGGAACTCAGATTTGTTTTTCAATAGAAAAACACAATTCTAAAGAATAGTGTTTTAACTATTGACAACAAACCTTCGGTTACTCTTAGCAGAGTTCTAAGTGCCATTTGATCATGGCTGGATTAACTAGAGATTCTCAATCTATACTACGAAATGTATTGGCCGTCATATATGTAGTGAAAGAAATAAGAAAATCGACCGGTAACTTTTTGAGGCATGGTCGTGTAAACACAAAATAGACCCTCATCTGGCAAAGTTGGTCCCGTTTGATCCCATTTGACATTGCAGATAGGCATTGACTATTGAAATCGTGAAATTAACAAGTAATAGAATTCTACACAACCCCCAGCAACGGTCCATTTTTTCTTTTGGGTTCCTATTAAATTAAATCTTGGGGGGGGGGGGCAATCTTCCACTGCGGCTAGTTCTCTGAATCATGTCAGTGCTTCACTGCGCATGTTGAAGGAATATTGATAACATGATCGAACGTAGCGAAAATCGAACTATGCTGGTTTCGAATCGAATACGAACGGCATTGCAAAGGACATTCCACGACTACCCACGCAAAGTGTGCAGAAAAAGTTGCGGGGAAAAACGGGCATAGGGAAAGTACTCGTTATAAAATGTAAATATCGGAACATTGAGCTCTTGATCATCCATTTCTACGAATTGATTAACTTATTTATCGGCTTATGCTTGATGAGGGTATGTAGGTAACTAGGCACTAACTAATACGCATAATATTACGCATGATATACCTAACTAATGCGCATAATAACCGTAACGTTGTGCTGAATGCTACGAGTACCTACGCTTCGTGCTAAATTCACTCTTGCATGTGCCGCACTGTTTTTCTTTTCCTACTGTCCATCCTGACAACCAGCGAGGGAGATTCCGGTCAGAGCCTGCCCCTCCGTGTCAGTGTTTGATGACCGTTGAAACGGCTATGTGACCGATTTCCGCGCGGGGTCTTCACTCCGATAAACCCTGGTCTGTAGGTCCGTATGCCTCGGTATACCGGGTCTGTACTAGAGATGCCACAAATTTGCAATTTCATTACCCGCCCCGCCCCGCAGCTACCCCTTGCCCAACCACAACTACCCGCAAGCTGATTTTGGCTGAGCCGAACCCGCAAAAAACCCGCAATCTTAAAAACCTGCTTTTGCAAGAAAAAAAATACAGCTGGGTCAATGCTAGAGCTATATAAACCTTACTTGCTTCATTGCTGTGCAGAAAAAGGCAGCCAAACAAATAGTAAGGACTTGAAATTTCTATGCTAAGTCCTCAGGAAGTGCACACTGGATAGTGGAAAATGAATAATGCATCAATAGGGGAGAACGAGGTGAGTTGTATCAGTTTTTACTCTAGGTCAAATTTCTCCTTAGATTTAACAAGGAGAATGACCGTTGCTATACCAAAGGAAAGCTTCAACGTTTGTCTACATACACTCTCCTGCGCGTTACGCTAAGGTTTCTTATCTTGCCTACACCTCGCTTTAAATGGGACCACTTCAATTGATACAATTCGCCTCACTAGTGAGGTAAGTTGTACCGCACGGTGGGTAAAGATGTATCAACGGTTTATGATTAGAAAGTGTGACGTTGTATATACACTTCTACACAGTCCAGAGAACAAGAAAAGTATCCTGAATAGCGACGTCCAGCTCCAGCCAGCAGATCAACGATTTCTTGGTGTCGCTGAAGGGTACGGATGACCCTATAGCAAAATCATTGAACCATTTCTTCAATATAAGCGCATAACGCGATCTGTTTGTCCGAAACTAAATGTATTATCACCGTATCACTGTAGTATCACTGCTATCACTGATATCACTGATATCACTGATATCACTGACATCACTGTTGTAGTAGCACTGATACAACATTCCCCACCACACTCTGATACAACTTGTCCAAGTGCGTCATTTCAAGAGAAGGTCTATGAAACGCTATACGCCATGTTTCGTTGCGCGAAACGAATTATGTTGTGATTAAGAGCAATGTTGACTCTCACTTATAGTGGTAAAACAATAGAAAGCTCTCAACATATAAAAGCCAAAAACATATATTTCCTAAAGAACGCATTTCTTACTAAGGACCCATCAAAACACATTTTCGTTACTCGCCCGAAAACGCGTCCACTCTTGTTGACGGCACAACACGGAAAGACGGCGCGCAACGCGGCGTCCCGAACAGTGGCGTCAAGTCTGCGATCTGGCGGATAGTTTTGGCGAAATTCGCTCTGATACTACTTGTCCATGATACAACTCACCCCGCTCTCCCCTACATTTGAAATTCCTTTCTGAAAAGAGTTCAGTGAAATCTTTCTCTCACCTTACCCCTCAGCATTGGCTGAGGATCAAAATTTCACTCTAGCTCCCTCTCAATATTAGGCTTCTAGAATGATATTGCTATCAAAATGAATGTTGATATAAAAAAGATATGCGATTTCCAGTTGAAAATAAATAGTGACACGTTGAATAATGAGTATCCAGTCGATCTACACATAAAACAAATCATGCAAAATCCCAGCAAAAACCAACTAACCACCAATGAACCACGCGTTTCTGGAAACATGCGTCAGAAGCGTCACCAACAGCTGATTGCAAGGAATGTTACAGCGACTAAATTATTGCAGCCGTAGTTAGTGCGAACTTGTTGCGAAAACACCGTTGTATAATGCATATTCATGTGCCATTTTGATAGTTATTTTACACAACAACTAAAGTTTTACAATTCAGAGTTAATCACCTGTTAAAAGATAAAGAGACAGTAAATACTAAATAAATTGTAATAATTTTAAAGATGGTCTTGGTAA